CAGCCTACATGCCCAGAAACTGATGATTGGATAAAGAAGATGTGGTATATTATACACAATGGAATACTACTCAGCCATAAAAAAAGACGAAATTGGCCCATTCACAACAATGTGGATGGACCTCGAGGGCATTATGTTAAGCGAAATAAGTCAGTCAGAGAAAGACGAACTCTATATGACTCCACTCATAGGTGGAAATTAGCATATTGATAAGGAGATCTGATCGGTGGTTACCAGGGAAAAGGGGGGGTGGGGGGAGGGTACGGAGGGGGAAGTGGTGTACCCACAACATGACTAACAAAAATGTACAACTGAAATCTCACAAGGTTGTAATCTATCATAACATTAATAAAAAAAAAAAAAAAAAAAAAAAAAAAAAGAAGTTAACAAAGAAATGAAACAAACACAAACTAAGTAGAATTAAGGAAATAAAGATCAGAACGGAAATCAGTAACACAGAAAACAAAGAGACAATGAAGGTAATCAATTAAACCAAAAGCAAGTTCTTTGAAATTATCACTAAAATCAATGGGGTCTGGCTAGACTGACCAAGAAAAAAAGAGATGCAGATTACCAATGTTGAGAATGAAAGAGGGGATGGGGGACCAATGCTATAACTGCTAAAAACAGTACCACAATGTCACAAACTTTGCACCATTAAATCTGGCAACTTATAGAAAATGGATAAATTCTTTTAAAAACACAAATGTCCATGAACAGAACTCCAGAAATTCAATTCATAATTAAATACTTTCCCACAAAGTAAACTCTTGGCCCAGATGGTTTCAAGGGTGAATCTGTTCAATATTTAAAAAAAGAAATAACATCTATATTACACCAACTACTTCAAAAAATACAGGAGGCAAAAAGACTCCCCAACTCATTTTATGAGGCCAGCATACCCCTAGATATCGAACCAAAGACATTACAACAAAAGCAATACAGACCAACATCCCTCAGGAACACAAGCTCAAAAAAATCCTTCACAAAACATTAGCAAATCAAATACTACAATATATGCAAAGCACACTCAGCATGACTGACAGTGTTTGACCTATCCCGGGAATATAAGGTTGGTATATAATCAGTCCACGTAAATTATCATATTAACAGATGATGGAGAAAAACTACGTGATCATCTTAATAGAAACAGAAAAGCCTCTGAAATGTCCAACACCCATTCATGATAAAACCCTCAGCAAACCAGGAACAGAAAAAATTTCCTCAGCCTAATGGGCATCTATGAAAACCGCCAGCTATCATCACACATAAAGGCTGAATGTTCCCCAAGCTTGGAAACAAGACAAGGACAAACGGTTTCAGCACTTTTCTTCAACACTGATCAGAGATCTCAGCCAGCGTAATATTTCAAGTAAACAAAGAGAAGGCTGCATACACAGACTGGAATAAAAGAGCTAAACTGTCTTCTCTGCATAGGAACATTCTAAGGAATTACACAAAAGCTGCTAAAAAGCCATGAGCAGACATTTCACCCAGGAGGACACAAGGACGGCAAACAGGCCCATGAAACAGTGCTCAGCATTATTAGCCATTATAAAAATGCAAACTAAAACAAGATACACCACACACAAAATGACTAAAAGAAACAACAACAACAACATCAAATACTGGCCAGGATGTGGAGAAACGGCACCACTCATACATCGCTGGTGGGAATGTCTAGTGGTGCAGCTACTCCAGAAGCAACTTGGCCGTTTCTGTGTGCACACTTTCCCATCCACCCCGGGGGGGTGAGTTCTGCATCTCTGACTTGTGACTTGATGACTGACTAGCTGCCCACTTGCTCCTCCCGTTGTGAAGGGAGTGAGGGCAGCTGGTCAGTATGAAAGAGTCAACCCCAACCTCAACTTCTCTATTCCCTTCATCAGTTGGTCCAGTTGACTCTGCCTCCCCTCATTCACCACCACCACCAATAAGAATGTTGTATTAACCCAGAACATACAAATTACACATAGTACCCCACAGAATTTAAATAAACCATCACAGAACAGTGAGAATCAACAGCCTATGAAAACAAATCATCTGACTGGTGTGCTACCTGGCTTTGATTAAGAAACTGATCCAGAACAGCAGTTTGGACAACTTTCAAAAACAACTTCGACCTGCGGACTTATGAAGACTTACAAGGTTTACTGAGATAAGACAGGAGACACAAAAATATTTTTGATTTAAGAGGGAAAAATTAAAATTAGAATGCACGTTTGCATATACCTGGTTTTATCAATACTATACACACACACACGGGAATTTAATTGGCAAGCAGCAATAGAAAAATGGGCATAGGAGAAGGGCAAACAACCAAATAAGAAATACAAATTTCTAATAAACATGTGGTGAAAAATTTCAACTAAATTAGTAATCAAATAAGTACAAATTAAAAAAATGAACTGTTCATAATTTTCTCTCTCAACCTGAAATTTTTTCTTCAATATTTATTTTAAATGTTTTGAAAGATATTTACCTAATAATCATACATTGCTGGTTAGAAGACATTTTGGCACAATTCTTCTATGATAATTTATAAATACCAGAAGCCTGAAATTGTGGATATTCTTTTACATCCCAATTCTACTTTTAAGAATTTATCTAAAGAAAAACAGACTTGCTATTTACATGCCTTCTCTTAATGTTTCTATATCTAAAAAAACAAAAACTAGGAGTTGCCCACTTGTTCCCATTCATGATGGAGGTGTGCAAAGGTTGGCTGGTTAGCTGAGAAGGGTCATTCTCCAGCTCAGGGGCTATGAAAGCAGGACCTGTGGTTCAGATCTAGCAACCTACATTCTGTTCTATATGCCCTCAGGGTAAGAATTAAAAATGAAAGAAGAGGAGAAGACGATGGTGGCTCTGCTACAGACACATTACACGGCCTACATTACTATGTGATGATGAATAAATAGACAAAAGAAAAAATAAGAAACTCTCATTACTGTCCAATGTGTTTGGAAAAGATACAAACATATAAAGGAATGAATTTCAACCTACGGATTACCTAAATTATAGGCAACTGAAAATATCTAAAGAAACAAACTATTTCCAAAGTCTTATGCATGCCAAACATATTTAGTTTCCAAAAAGTCCACTATACACAAGAATGAGGAAGGCTCCTGCTGGTCACAGTAATTAACGATAAGCTGCAAACAATACTAGCAGCTATTTCTATTCAAATCCAACCAAAGCAAGGAAAGTGACCAAATTATCGTATCCACTTTCCCTTCCCTCAACCAACAATTGCTTGGGTCAAAGGTCATTCTTAGACAATCTCAATCTTTCTTTACTCTCCATTAAATATCAGCAAATTGTGTAAGATGAAGCTTCTCTCATTCAGATAAATACTACATATAATACAAGATAAATACCAAATGACCACAAGTGTGGTTTTGTTAAAAACAAAAAAAAGAAAAGAAGATGTGTACCAGTTTAGCAGATTCTCAGCATTTTTTTGTTTTTGTTTTTGAGGAAGATTAGCCCTGAGCTAACTACTGCCAGTCCTCCTCATTTTTTTTGTTGAGGAAGACTGGCCCTGGGCTAACATCCGCACCCATCTTCCTCCACTTTATATGTGGGATGCCTACCACAGCATGGCATGCCAGGTGGTGCCATGTCTGCACCTGGGATCCGAAGCGGCGAACCCCAGGCCGCCGAGAAGTGGCACGTGTGAACTTAACCGCTGCACCACCGGGCCGGCCCCTGATTCTCAGCATTTTTGAGATCTGTTTCAGAGATCATTGAAAATACCAAAATCCATAAGCATTGATTCCTCTAATGCCACCTCTTGTCTCTTCCCCAGGTACAGAGAAAAACTCAGCAAGGGCCAAGCAAGAGGTCCGAAAGAGCCCTTCTCCTTCTCTGCTAAGAGACACAGGAACACTCCACTTCCTCCTAATCAAAGAGGGCTCCCCCCTTCAAAGGAAAAGCTAAAGTGGACAGGCTTGTCTCCAAGACTAGGCCACCAGTCTGAATGCAATTGTCCACCAAAGCAGGATCTGAACTGCCTCCTAGGGAGTAAGTCAGCAATAGGGGACTCATCTAACCCCACCAAAAGTTCTCAATTATGAAGACTACTCAACTGACAGAGTTTAAAAACAAAAAGAGAAAGGAAAGGGAAAGAGAAGAAAACAAATCTAGGTGACAAGCCAACAGCAACATTCAAAACTATACCTAAAACAGGTCATGTGCTAAGATACTACAGAAATTATTTTCACATAATTCTCAATGACCCCTCACTAGAATAAAGAAATTATTTTTAAAAATTATGAATTCATTAAATAAGTTAGTTGCTACAAACAGAAATGTACTTACTACCTAGGAGTGATCACTAACAATAAGAGGACAAAGCAACTACAATGAGGCTCACCCCTAAAGCCGGCAGCCGTTGTGTGCAGCTCACGGCCACTTTCAGCTTCCAGTCGGTCTCACCATCCAGCTGATCGGTTCGAATAAAACATGAACCTTGGAATTAGAGAAGAAAAATTCCTGAGTCACAGGTACTTTAAAACCACAATTTCAGAGCACAGTGGGATACTGAAATGATATACTAGAGATTGTCATGAGCAAAAATCCTTAAAAGCCTTTATTTATTTGATTCACAAAAGGAGTTTGCTGAAAAGACACAGGTCATTAACTATTTAATCATTTATCTCCTATTTGGTGTTGTTCACTATTAAGGTTTAATATTAATTAGTGCTTTATTTTAGAAAGACTACATTGATCATTTCTGCCTTTAATTCATGTTTTCATAATAACAAAACAGTGAGTAAATACATAAAAAGTCCAAGAGCGTGTGATACAACTTTGCTAACAAAATATCTGATGTACCACCACAAAACAAACGTTCAGTAACAAAATCACAGATAAAATGAGAAAACTTGGTAAGAGCTATTGTCATACAAACAAATCCTATCAAATTTTAAACACAAAAAATATTAAATTACACTAATCTATTTACCCTCTGCCCATACTGTCATACGATTTCTCAGAACCTATCCTAAGATAGAACAGCAAAGCACAAAACACACACACACAAGACAATCGTGCAACGTTATTGATAATAATAATAAATTATAATAATTGATAATAATAAATAATAATAAAGGGTGGAACAGAGAGAACCAGAATACTACTTTCCATTGAAAGACAAGGGTGGGAGAAAGGAAAGAGTGTGAGTGTGTATATGTCTGTGTGACTGTGTGTGTCTGTGTGTCTACAAATGTCTATGTGTGTGAGGGTGTCTGTGTGTATGCGTATATGCATGAGTGTGTGTACACGCAGGGACAATACTGATACAGGGAGGAAGGAAACAGGGAAGGGACTGGAATAGAAGCTACAACTTTCTGAATACATCTGATTTTATACTGTTCTCTTTGAAATCATACACATTTTGTGTAACTAAAAAGCCAAATTACATCAAACTGTAAAAAAGCAATCCCTAAAAAATAAAAGGAAGCATATAAAACAAAGTAACAAATTAACAGTTTAATCAAAAAATGAATTCAAGTAACTTCTGAAGTTTTTTAGAAATTTAACTATAAAATAAAATAGTTCCAGGAAGCCACGCAAGCATATGCATACCTTAGCAAATTACGACAAGGTAAATATCTTCGTAAACAACTGGAGGATCCCTTAGAAGACCCTGAATGTGCCCCATTCCAATGAGAGCCCCCTTGCCTCCTGCTAAAGAAACACTATTGTCACCTGCACTTCCTTGCTTTTCTTTAGTGTTTATCACCCCAATGCATAGCCTGAGACACTACAATTGAGCCTTGACCATTCTGGGCATGTCTTTAGAGTTACTTTTCATCTACAGGACCTCCCCTTCCCGCCTTCCAATTTGTTTGCTGAAAGGCCTGGGTCTGCATATTGCTGACTGAACACTAATGATCCAGACCAACTGGTTCCCCTTCCCTGTGTGGGTCTTGTAACGCTGGCTCTTGCACCCAGAGACCAGCTCAGATTCTGCTGGCCCTCGGCAATGCTGTCCTGCTTCCATCCAGAGGCAGAGTGTCCAGGCTCTGCTCTGCATTGATGCCCTGCCCTGCTCTGCATTGATGCACTCAATGCCCAGATCCCTCGCTGCAACAGAGGCTGCTGAAGGTAGTAGTCTATCCTTCCTTTTCCACATTTTAGCTGGAATAAAATGTAAAAGGAGAGGCTGCTGCTCTTTGCATTTGGTTTAGTCACCTGGTGGAACAGTTCCTGTAAGAAAGCGTTGACTCCTTGCTATTATTTACCCACATTTCAAGACAATGAACTGGTACCCTGTCATCCTCAGGAGATTGATTAGGGCTGCACGTGCGTGTGCATGTGTGTGTGTCTGTGTGTGTGCTGGATGAGCTACACTATTTGAGGAGTTTTATTCCAATGCCATTACTATTACTATAGAGTTTCAAGTTGTCCCACCATTGGGAGACAAATTTTCAGAGTTACCTCATTATTAGATTAAAATGTCCAACGAAAAATCACAAGGCATACAAAGAAGCAGGAGAGTATGGCTAATTTAAGGAAAAAAGTTAATCTACAGACTCTGTCCCTGAAAAGACCTGATGATAGATCTGCTAGGCAAAGACTTTAAAGCAACTGTCTAAAAGAACTAAGGAAAGATGTCAAGAAAGTCAATAAAATGTATGAACAAAATGGAAAAATCAATAAAGGGAGAAAAAACCTAAAAAGAAATTCAAGAGCTGCAAGGTACAACTACAATGAAAAAGTCACTAGATGGAGTCAAAGACAGATTTGAGCAGTCTGACAAAAGAATAAGCGAACTTGAAGATAGGATGATGGAAATGATCCAGTCTGAAGAACAGAAAGAAAAAAGACTGAAAAGAGGTGAGTAGAGACTAAGGGACCTCTGGGACACCATCACATGGACCACCAAATGCATCATGGGAGGCCCCGAGAAGGAGGGAGAAAAATATCTGCAGAAATAATGGCTGAAAACTTCCCAAATTTGTTCAAAGACATAAATGTAAACATCCAACAAGCTCAAACAAATCCAAATAAGATGAACTCAGAGACCCACGCTGAGACACATTATAATCCAACTTTCAAAGACAAAGACAAAGAGGGAATCTTGAAAGCAGCAAGAGGAAGCAAATCATCACAGACAGGGGATCCTCACTAAGATTATCAGCAGGTTTCTCATCAGGAACTTTGGGGCTAGATAGCAGTGTGCCAATATATTCAAAGAGCTGAAAGAAAAAACTGTCAACCAAAAATCTTATATCCAGCAAAACTGTCCTTCAAAAGTGGGGGAGAAATCAAGACATCGCCAAACAAACAAAATCTGAGGGAGTTGGTGACAGTTAGACCTTGCTTGAGGGAGGCATGCAGGCAAAAATGAAAGGCCAACAGACAGTAACTAAAAGACATGTAGAGAAATAAAGATCTCAGTAAGGGTAAATACATGTGCAAGAAAAAAGCTATTATTATTACAACAATGGTTTGTTAAGTACACTTTTTGTTTTCTACATGATTTAAGAGAATAGTAACTATAAAAAAAATTATTAGTCTAAAAGCTCAAATTAGTCTAACATTGGTATGTAACTCCAAATCTTGTTTTCTACATAATTTAAGAAGTGAAGGCATTTAAAATAATTATTGGTTTGTGTTTTGGGGCACACAATACATAAAGATGTAATTTTGTGACATCTGCAACCAAAAGGGGCACGAATGGAGCTGTAAAGGAGCAGTTTCCGTATGTTACTGAGGTTAAACTGGTGTAAATTCAAATTAGAGTGTTACAACTTGAGGACATTAAATGTAAACCCCACAGTAGCAACAAACAAAACAACTACAGATATACACAAAAGGAAGCAAAAAAGGAATTTAAACATCTCACTACAAAACATCAACCAAGAACACAGTAATGCAGGAAATGAGGGACAAAAAAGCTGTAAGGCATTAGGAAATCAAACTGCACAAGGAAAGAAGTTGCTCCTTATCAGTAATTACTTTAAATATAAATGAATTAAACTCTCCAATCAAAGACAGAGATTGGTAGAATTGATAAAAACACATAAATCCAACCATATGCTGTCTACAAGAGACTCACTTTAGATCCAAAGATACAAAGAAGTTGAAAGTGAATGATGGAAAAAGATATTCCATGCAAAACAGTATGAGGTTCCTCAAAAAATGAGAAATAGAATTAGCATATGAGGCAGCAATCTCACTTCTGGGTATATAGCCCAAAGAACTGAAAGCAGGGCCTCAAAGAGACATTGCTCTACTCACCTTCACAGCAGCACTACTCACAACAGATAAAATGTGGAAGCAACCCAAGCGTCCATCAACAAACGAATGGATGAGGAAAAGTGGTATAAACATACAACGGAACATTACTCAGCCTTAAAAAGGAAGGAAATTTTACAGTATGCTGCCACATGAAAGAACCTTGAGGACATTATGCTTAGTGAAATAAGCCAGTCACAAAAAAGACAAATAATGTATGATTCCACTTAGGTAAGGTTCATAGAGTCATCAAAAACATACAGATAGAAAGCAGAAGGGCAGCTGCCAATGGGTAGAGGGAGGGGAGAATGGAGAGACATTGTCTAACAGGTATAGAGTTTCAGTTCTACAAGACGAAAAGAGTTACAGGGATGGATGGTGGTGACGGCTGCACAACAATGTGAACGTATTTAATGCCACTGAACCATACACTTAAAAATGGCTAAGATGGTAAATTTTATGTTAGGTATATTTTAACACAATAACAAAAGAAAAAACTACATTTATTTAAAATGTAAACTATAGACTCTGGGTGATGATGAGGTATCAACGTAGGTTCATCAATTACAACAAATGTACCACTCTGGTGAGTGATGTGGATAAAGGGGGGGCTGTATATTTGTGATTGCAGAGGGTATATGGGAAATCTCTGTACCTCCTTCTCATTTTTTGTAAATCTAAAATTGCTCTAAAAAAATAAAGTCTAAAATAAAAAAATATTTAAATATATTCAGATTAATACAGAAAACATCAACCAAAAGTATTATACAAACATTTGATCCTTGCTGTAAAGAGAAAAACACTGCAAATAATTGAAACTGCACTAAAGTATGAAATACGCAAGTGTGTATTTGAACCCTTGCAGAGACAGAGACTATTAACTATATTTTTCTCATATTTGTATTTCAGAGCTCCCTTCCCATCTCTCAGCATTTGCTCCTATCCATCAACTTCATTTACAATCACACTACTGATCGATGCAGTTCAGCACCAGTGTGGCTCCGGGGAACGGCTGACTGCGTGCATGGTGTTCACCAGAGCTCACGCTATGACAGCTATTGGCCAAATGCATTTCCTCTCCACTTCAACAGCTAATTTCATCAATAGCTTATCTCACGGCCTTTTCCCTTTTATCTAGAAGAAGAGACTGCTTGTGCCTGGTCAGCTTTCAATAGTGATCACTACAGCAAAACAGAAACATTAAATAAAAAGTTTTAACACTA